CCCTCATGGAGTTGAAGATGTCCATGTATGAGAACTGGCAGTGCAGGGCAAATATGACAGCACCAAGGGGATTTGCCAAGTTTATGCCGCTGCTAAGATCCGGAAGGACCGTCAGGCCGTCAGTGGCAGGCTTCCACAGCCCATAGACAATCATAACAATGCAGAAGACGACAGCAGTGAAAAGACTGAACTTTGCGAAGAAGGACAGGGAGGCAAGGTTGTCAAGCTTGGTCAGCAAGATGAAATATACACAGCACAGGACCAGCAGAATTACTCCCCTGGCTACGTAGTAGTTTACAGGATTGGTCGTCTCGTCAAGGGCCGTGCCAAGATACTCGTTATATCTCAGGGAGTCTAGAAATATTCGAAGAAAAACCTGGCCGAAGGAAAAGCAGACGACCAATGAGCCGATGACCAGGGATATGGAAATCATGATCCTAAGAACCCTAATCTGGCTGCACGTGGTCTATTTCCTCTGACTGCATGGGGACTGCTTCGGCTGTTTCAGTTGTGATCCTTGGCAGCACAATCTTTTTGTACAAATGTATCACTTCTATGCCAAGAGTCCAGTAGCTGGTTAATGCAAGCGTGTAGACAGGCAGAGGATGTTCTTGATAATAGCAGGGGTAGCTACACGATCTGTACAGGGAATACACATATTTCGATATTTGATAGAGACTACAGACAAGAGTCATTACGAATGAGTCTGATCTGCACACAGCCTGGTTGAACTGCCAGCCTGCTTGTGGTGTGCATCTACGCAGTGATTTACTCGATCCATTTTTTTGATTAGTGCTAAATAAATGCAAACTAACTTTATGTTTTATCGCAGGCTTTATGGTTTAACTATATCTATGTATACTCACATACAGTCTTCTACCGTGCTATGCTACGGGGAATATGCTTGTATTCTGTACTGGACATTTAGACAATCAGCAGCATACCAATCCACTCCCATTCAACTGGATTGCACAAAGAATGTAGTCAAGTTGTGCACTAACTACTCAAGTGTTATTTATCCAACGAATCACAAATACAGTCTGGAGTGATTTGGAATGACATGTTTGACATCTGTCAGTATCCTATTTTCAAACTGAATTTTTGAGCGATCGAACTTACTCACAAAGACTTACCAGCACAGTCAATGTGCTATTGGCAGTAATTACAGTCATGCCTGTAGCTAAAGCTTATATATGTCATTGTGGTTTTTATCTTGGAGATATATCATTCTACTGTGAAATCCAGCTATTTAAAAATTTTCAGTCACATCCCTTAATGAATATTGCACAGACGAGAAAGACATGCAAAGCAATCTGGAGTCTACTTGTACTCATGGGAGCTACACTTCAGAGCTCGAACAATGGTGCAAACCCAGGTGGAATTGGTAGCTTTGAAGGGTATCCTGTGGATACGACTAAAATATCTATACATTCCAAGGACATTGAATATATTGACAGCTATATTAGGAGGTCAGTGAAGTCAGA